AAACAAAACATACAGATGCACTATGGGAAGTAATCCATCACAAATACTTTTAAAGCAACAAGATTTGTTGATAAAAAACCACGGTTACCACAAAATTCGGAAGTAGGATAATAAGGCTGTACTGTGTAAGGCATGTGTTACTTGCATGCAAGAATCAAATGAAATAAGGAGGACAACAGGGGTCACTGATATGGTAAACCTTGGTACTGTAGACAACAGGGGTCATCTACTGACACAGGTGACCTTGGTACTGTAGACAACAGGGGTTATCTACTGACACAGGTGACCTTGGTACTGTAGACAACAGGGGTCATCTACTGACACAGGTGACCTTGGTACTGTAGACAACAGGGGTCATCTACTGACACAGGTGACCTTGGTACTGTAGACAACAGGGGTCATCTACTGACACAGCTGACCTTGGTACTGTAGACAACATCTACTGACACAGGTGACCTTGGTACTGTAGACAACAGGGGTCATCTACTGACACAGGTGACCTTGGTACTGTAGACAACATCTACTGACACAGGTGACCTTGGTACTGTAGACAACAGGGGTCATCTACTGACACAGGTGACCTTGGTACTGTAGACAACATCTACTGACACAGGTGACCTTGGTACTGTAGACAACAGGGGTAATCTACTGACACAGGTGACCTTGGTACTGTAGACAACATCTACTGACACAGGTGACCTTGGTACTGTAGACAACAGGGGTCCATCTACTAACACAGGTGACCTTGGTACTGTAGACAACATCTACTGACACAGGTGACCTTGGTACTGTAGACAACATCTACTGACACAGGCGACCTTGGTACTGTAGACAACAGGGGTCATCTACTGACACAGGTGACATTGGTACTGTAGACAACAGGGGTCATCTACTGACACAGGTGACCTTGGTACTGTAGACAACAGGGGTCATCTACTGACACAGGTGACCTTGGTACTGTAGACAACAGGGGTCATCTACTGACACAGGTGACCTTGGTACTGTAGACAACAGGGGTCATCTACTGACACAGGTGACCTTGGTACTGTAGACAACAGGGGTCATCTACTGACACAGGTGACCTTGGTACTGTAGACAACATCTACTGACACAGGTGACCTTGGTACTGTAGACAACATCTACTGACATAGGCGACCTTGGTACTGTAGACAACAGGGGTCATCTACTGACACAGGTGACATTGGTACTGTAGACAACATCTACTGACACAGGTGACCTTGGTACTGTAGACACCAGGGGTCATCTACTGACACAGCTGACCTTGGTACTGTAGACAACAGGGGTCATCTACTGACACATGTGACCTTGGCACTGTAGACAACAGTCAACTACTGACACAGGTGACCCTGGTACTGTAGACAAAAGGGGTCATCTACTGACACAGGTGACCTTGGTACTGTAGACAACATCTACTGACACAGGTGACCTTGGTACTGTAGACAACAGGGGTCATCTACTGACACAGGTGACCTTGGTACTGTAGACAACAGGGGTCATCTACTGACACAGGTGACCTTGGTACTGTAGACACCAGGGGTCATCTACTGACACAGCTGACCTTGGTACTGTAGACAACAGGGGTCATCTACTGACACAGGTGACCTTGGTACTGTAGACAACAGGGGTCATCTACTGACACAGGTGACCTTGGTACTGTAGACAACATCTACTGACACAGGTGACCTTGGTACTGTAGACAACATCTACTGACACAGGCGACCTTGGTACTGTAGACAACAGGGGTCATCTACTGACACAGGTGACATTGGTACTGTAGACAACATCTACTGACACAGGTGACCTTGGTACTGTAGACACCAGGGGTCATCTACTGACACAGCTGACCTTGGTACTGTAGACAACAGGGGTCATCTACTGACACAGGTGACCTTGGCACTGTAGACAACAGTCAACTACTGACACAGGTGACCCTGGTACTGTAGACAAAAGGGGTCATCTACTGACACAGGTGACCTTGGTACTGTAGACAACATCTACTGACACAGGTGACCTTGGTACTGTAGACAACAGGGGTTATCTACTGACACAGGTGACCTTGGTACTGTAGACAACAGGGGTCATCTACTGACACAGGTGACCTTGGTACTGTAGACAACAGGGGTCAACTACTGACACAGGTGACCCTGGTACTGTAGACAAAAGGGGTCATCTACTGACACAGGTGACCTTGGTACTGTAAACAACAGGGGTCAACTACTGACACAGCTGACCCTGGTACTGTAGACAAAAGGGGTCATCTACTGACACAGGTGACCTTGGTACTGTAGACAACATCTACTGACACAGGTGACCTTGGTACTGTAGACAACAGGGGTCATCTACTGACACAGGTGACCTTGGTACTGTAGACAACAGGGGTCATCTACTGACACAGGTGACCTTGGTACTATGGTCATATTTATCAGTGTTCAATCAAACTCAGAGTCTGGAGAAACCAACCTTAGATTGGTGTTTACTCCTCCCCACAGAGAAATGTCCCAAACCTGAGATATCAGAGATCCAATAACGCATACATATATCTTCATTACAGCAATTATCTTGTCAAAGCTGAAAATCAACTATATTTATAAATATTTAAAACTAGGTTTAATTTAAGGTATGTTATAAATCTTCTGAATCATTCTTTATTACACAATTACATAAAATCATGAAAAAGAAACTAATAAATTGAGGAATTTTCATCCCTGTTGGCCTTGAGATCAGTCAATTCCTATTTAATATGTACACTTTGTACACAGCCTGGAGGAGTGGTACCACCGCCAGGCACTCAACCTGAAACGTTCAATCTTTGTCTACATACAACAGATACAGAGAATCATTAGGATTCTGGTACAATGTATGTGATTGCCCTTTTCAGACTAGGAGGCAGTTTATCAGGAGGTTCTCTAAATAAGTTAAACTGCTGAAAAATGCCAATGACTGGCATCATAGTGTTTTGTATAATAGTAGTATTACAGTGGATCTCTAATATAGTCAAGAGCTCTGAGATTTCAATTCCTAGTGTGGGGAAATTTATTAAAAAAGGAATCTACACTGATTATACATTTTCCTGTGGGTTTTCTACAGTAATATATCACCAAGTAATCATCTGTCAAACAAATGAGAACTCTTCTTTGTTAGGAAATAAAAAAATAACACTGATGGGATTAATCCTTAAACAGGTAACATCAAGCAGTTTTGTAAGGATTTTAAATGACCAAGAATATCTGTTGGTTTACTAGGTAAATCTAATGGTTTACATGGTAAATATATTTGTAAAGCTGATAAATCTAATGATTTACCAAATAAATCTTATGGTTTACCTAATAAATCTAAAGGTTTACCTCATAAATCTAATGGTTTACCTGATAAATAAAATGGTCTCCTAATAAATCGAATGGTTTATCTGGCAAATGTGTTGTAAAATGACACCTTTTAATACACAGATACAGTACAGACAGGTGATGAATTAAACTGCATCAAACAGCTGTTTCATCCTTTTAGGACTTGTGATGCTAAGGGCCTAAATCTTGAAACTGAGGAGGTGACAGAAGAAAATCCAAATTGGTTGAAATAGATATCAAAACTAGATATGAATGTGCAATAGCCCCAACATTTGGATTTACATTATGTGCTATCAATAATACTTTACATCACATCACGCTTTGTATTACTAACTTTTTTAATGACTGCTCTGTAATTGCTTACAGAAAAATCACTTCATACACAATTCTCCATACTCAAGGGGTTACCATCACTTCACTCTCTGCACCCCTGGAACATGTCATGGCAGAATTGAAGGCACAAGCGGAGTCATTTTATTGGTTTCACAAGAAAAACTGACCAATCACAAGCTGATATACTCCTTCTGAAGATTACGAAGGAGCGACTCCCAACTTCAAAGCCATTACAATAAACCATTATGTGACCTCGAGATTCTTGCCAGTCTCAGTCTAACAAATAATAATGTGTAGAGTTAAGGACTTAACATTAAATACAAGGGTATTCTACTGTGCACTATTGGGCCCACACCGAGTCGAAAGGCTGAAAAGAACAAAGGCCAATGACTTTTAAACTAATGTCAAATCAAACTGCTGTTTATGAGAACACACTCATTCAAAGAATCAGATACAGGAGAAGGAAATATTTGGACAAGAGAAAGATATTAAAAAAAAAAAGAAAAAGCATAATAACTCTTTCCAAAATTGTAAAATCACAATGTCAATAGCAAACAAATGATATGATAAAATGGTAATTAAGCCTTCCACTACATTGCAAAGGTTTAAACATTGAGAGAGGAAATCTCCTGAAAAGACTAACATTATCAAAATAACAAGAGGAAGTAACTCTTCCAAATTAAGTTCAATCATGCTGCCATTTACAAAAACATAACTTCATGTCATGTTGATTAAGTTACCAAGTGTAACAGAAATTGTTTGTGAAATTTTAGAGAAGATCTGTGGATAAGATTAACATAATGAAAACAACCAGGGGCAGTAACTCCTCAAAATAGTGTAAAATTAAACTGCCTTTCAGAAAAAATATAACCTCATAAAGGAAACTGGTTGAAAACTGAGAGCGAAGATCTCCGGAAAAGATTTATATTATCAAAATAAAAGATGGGGCATAACTCTACTGTCACTTTAAAAAACCTGAAAGGTATGTCGATATATGTTTAACTCCTTTGATTCTGGTATATCAACAGAGAACTAAAAAGTTCTTTTCATATCAATACAATGCCCATATTGCCAATAATCACAAAATTCCTTAACTCCAACATGTTTGAGCTATTTATTTATGGAATATTTGTAGCAAATTCCATTAAAATCAGGTCATTATACAAGAAAGACAGCAATAGCAAGGAAAAGTTAACTGACAGACGGACAGACCTATGGACAGACAGATTAGCTGACAGTGTAGATATACCATAAAACAACCCATCAGTGATAGGTATATAAAAGAAATATAGGATTACTTACACAACTGCCACCTGGTGTAGAGTAACCACTCCGTGACGAAGCATAGTGCCGAAAGCCAAATCTGAAATAGAACACACACAGAATTGCTGTAATTTATCAACAATGACTAAAAAGTCTGATATTTTTGCAAAAAGTTACATATTAAAATTGCTAGGACTTATGGATCACTAGAAGAAGTTGAAAATGTTGCTAAAAGATTTGAACAAATTTGACAACATTTTAACTCTAATACTAACACACTATCTATAAGAAGTTAAGGATCAGTACAGACCTTGCCTCTATGTCTGAATATGCATCATACAGATCATCACTGTATATGCGGTGGAGTTGATCTCTCTGTCGGCGAGTAAGGATCCGTCGTCGTCTGTTCTCCTTTCTTTCATCCTCTAACTATAACAATAAGTTTGATAGATAAGAGATCAGAGTTGTCAATCAGAATACAGCGATGCAATTTTCAAATACCACAATGAATAACATAGCTCTGGAGTAAAAATCAAATACTGAAAATCTGTCATGAATTTACTGACGTCTGTGAATCCTTTATACTTCTGACTTTTGATTAAACCACAACACAAAAATTTGAACCCTGGAATAAATTGAGATTACCAAATTTATTGGCTGATGATTTTGCCTAAAAATCATTTCTGATTAGAGACCTTATATATGGATTCTCTATTAACACTGTATAAAACCTAAAATGAATTCTAGGACATGAAAGCATGGACTCACTGTTTGCTGTCCTGGCAGATTCTATTCTTGATAAAATTATTCATACTGTTTGCATTTTAATCAAGAATCACAGATGCATGGGACTGAACTTGTCATTCTTCATCAAAGACACATATTTACCTCCTCCTTAAAGGGTGTCTGTTTGAATTCCCGTTGGCGTTGTTTGTTTCTCCATTTCTCAAGACCTGCTTTATCTTCTATAGAATAGTCATCCACCCTGCTGGGCTCGCCAGTAAATGGAGCCTGTAACAGATAGTCACATTAAGGTCATCTTTATCCCAAACCACAGAAACATAAAAAAAGGTTTAGAAATTAAAACAAGGGCCATAACTCTGTATATAAATGGGCACAAAACATAGCACTTTATTGATATCTTTTTAAGATTGAAATAAACTATACCTGGTAAAGAGAAGATCACAGTACATGTTGTTTTAGTATGGTATGTCACCTAAACAATATTACTGTATTTAATGTAGCACTGAGTTTATATAATGGAGCGGTTATAATAGTGTGATGTCGTTAACGTGTTATGTGCCTAGTCTATGTTCTGTTTCATAAATGTCTTAAGGGCTTGTACGTATCTGTACAGGTATTAGACTGGACAGTATATGTTTGACCAATCTTTTGGTAACAACGCTTGCATGGACATATCTTTCCAAAAATCCTGTGACAATTACACCTGTTTATAAAGACCTGTGACCGCTGCACTTGTTCATAAAGACCTGTGATCATAACACCTGTTTATAAAGACCTGTGACTGTTGCACCTGTTTATAAAGACCTGTGACTGTTGCACCTGTTTATAAAGACCTGTGGTCATAACACCTGTTTATAAAGACCTGTGATCATAACACCTGTTTATAAAGACCTGTGATCATAGTATCTGTTTATAAAGACCTGTGACCATTGCACCTGTTTATAAAGACCTGGGGGATGTAGTAATGTACAATGTAGTTTGTAACTATACACAGTAGAAGTGTGCTGTACCATTCATAAATACAGATTTATATCTAGGGTTGTTTTATAGACAAGAAATGTTGGCGTTATTTTATCTGATCCATCCCTAAAATAGACAATGCAGGGCTAGGGACATATGGGAAGTATATATGAAATTGAGAATGATTCAGTGCTGCTCAAGAAATAGAGGTAACAAGACTTGTTTATGAACAGACAGAATACAGGTGACAGACAGACGACAGACAGAATACAGGTGACAGACAGATGACAGACAGAATACAGGTGACAGACAGATGACAGACAGAATACAGATGACAGACAGACGACAGACACAATACAGATGACAGACAGACAACAGACAGAATACTGATGACAGACAGACGACAGATAGAACACAGATGACAGACAGACGACAGATAGAACACAGATGACAGACAGATGACAAATAGAACACATATGACAGACAGACGACAGAACACAGATGACAGACAGACGGCAGACACAACACAGATGACAGACAGACGACAGACACAACACAGATGACAGACAGACGACAGACACAATATCGATGACAGACAGATGACAGACACAACACAGATGACAGACAGATGACAGACACAACACAGATGACAGACAGACGACAGAACACAGATGACAGACAGATGGCAGACACAACACAGATGACAGACAGACGACAGACACAACACAGATGACAGACAGACAACAGACACAACATCGATGACAGACAGATGACAGACACAACACAGATGACAGACAGATGACAAACAGAACACAGATGACAAACAGACAAAATGTTATTTTGATTTACTAAATGGTTGATGATGGTGAGCTAAAAATACCAGGGTACTATCAACATATTGATTTCTAGACAGGACAGATCACAATGTCAGAAATGGTTATATAGTTTTATATGTAGCGGAACACCACATTTTCTTACTGAAATGCTTTCTTCAATGTTTTGATTAGAACATGTTTGTGTACAGCAACTATGGTTGGATTTCTTGATGGAAATAGGTAGTACATCCACGCAACCACAGTTCAAACTCTCTTCTTCTATCTGTTCAAATACTAACAGACCTGTGAGCTGTATGGGGAATATTTTGTATATATATTGCAACATTAAACTTGAGGTTAAATTAACGCTGTATTTATGGATGGTACAGAGTGAGTGGGGAACGACATGGCACTTGTAATGCATACAGCTACAAACAGTACATTACTCAGGTTTGATGCTGGCCATACAGCAATCAATTATAACCATAGTTTATACAAGAAAGACACATTAAACTTGACAGATATTAAGTGGAGCCTAAGAAATAGGTAAACTTTCCTGGAGGCAGACCTGAAAGGTTTTGGGAAGATATATTGGTTTTAAAGTGTATCAGGGCCCCTTTATTATCTGAATATTCATTTGTATTGGTGAGCATTACGCTCCTGCTCGACCCTGGTAATATTCCTGGGTATAAAACAAGCAATACATCATTTTGTAAACGGATTGCCAGTCCCCAAATGAATAATTTCATCTGAGTGATGACAGCATCAAGATTTTCCACTTTTTGCTTTCTCTCATTTTGTTTCTCATAAATCTTCTGGCTATGTTTGGAATGAGGAAACATCTGCTTTGCTTGAAACTACATAATATAGGTCTTTAGAATTGGTGTACTGAAGGATAAGGGGGACGATTCACAGACAATCAACACCACATTTAAACTTGGGGTTAATCATGTGATAAATCACCAAAAAATACCAAATTGGAATAGATTGATAAACAAGAGGTTGATATGTTGATATTGGAGAAGATTGGTATACAGGTTGGTAGTTCGGTAGATTGGTATACAGGTTGGTAGTTCAGTAGATTGGTATGCAGGTTGGTAGTTTAGTAGATTGGTATGCAGGTTGGTATTTCAGTAGATTGGTATACAGGTTGGTAGTTCAGTTGATTGGTATACAGGTTGGTAGTTCAGTAGATTGGTATACAGGTTGGTAGTTCAGTAGATTGGTATACAGGTTGGTATTTCAGTAGATTGGTATACAGGTTGGTAGTTCAGTAGATTGGTATGCAGGTTGGTATTTCAGTAGATTGGTATACAGGTTGGTATTATAGTAGATTGGGATACAGGTTGGTAGTTCGGTAGATTGGTATACAGGTTGGTATTTCAGTAGATTTGTATACAGGTTGGTATTTCAGTAGATTGGTATGCAGGTTGGTATTTCAGTAGATTGGTATGCAGGTTGGTATTTCAGTAGATTGGTATGCAGGTTGGTATTTCAGTAGATTGGTATACAGGTTGGTAGTTCAGTAGATTGGTATACAGGTTGGTATTTCAGTAGATTGGTATACAGGTTGGTATTTTAGTAGATTGGTAGGTTGGTACAGGTTGGTAGGTTGGTTCAGTAGATTGGTATACAGGTTGGTATTTCAGTAGATAGATTGGTATATACAGGTTGGTATTTCAGTAGATTGGTATGCAGGTTGGTATTTCAGTAGATTGGTATACAGGTTGGTATTTCAGTAGATTGGTATGCAGGTTGGTATTTCAGTAGATTGGTATGCAGGTTGGTAGTTCAGTTGATTGGTATGCAGGTTGGTATTTCAGTAGATTGGTATACAGGTTGGTAGTTCAGTAGATTGGTATATAGGTTGGTAGTTCAGTAGAGAGGTTGGTATTTCAGTAGATTGGTATGCAGGTTGGTAGTTCAGTAGATTGGTATGCAGGTTGGTATTTCAGTAGATTGGTATACAGGTTGGTAGTTCAGTAGATTGGTATATAGGTTGGTAGTTCAGTAGATTGGTATATAGGTTGGTAGTTCAGTAGATTGGTATACAGGTTGGTAGTTCAGTAGATTGGTATACAGGTTGGTAGTTCAGTAGATTGGTATGCAGGTTGGTAGTTCAGTAGATTGGTATGCAGGTTGGTAGTTCAGTAGATTGGTATGCAGGTTGGTAGTTCAGTAGATTGGTATGCAGGTTGGTAGTTCAGTAGATTGGTATACAGGTTGGTAGTTCAGTAGATTGGTATATAGGTTGGTAGTTCGGTAGATTGGTATATAGGTTGGTAGTTCGGTAGATTGGTATACAGGTTGGTAGTTCAGTAGATTGGTATATAGGTTGGTAGTTCAGTAGATTGGTATACAGGTTGGTAGTTCAGTAGATTGGTATACAGGTTGGTAGTTCAGTAGATTGGTATATAGGTTGGTAGTTCAGTAGATTGGTATATAGGTTGGTAGTTCAGTAGATTGGTATATAGGTTGGTAGTTCAGTAGATTGGTATATAGGTTGGTAGTTCAGTAGATTGGTATATAGGTTGGTAGTTCAGTAGATTGGTATATAGGTTGGTAGTTCAGTAGATTGGTATACAGGTTGGTAGTTCAGTAGATTGGTATACAGGTTGGTATTTCAGTAGATTGGTATACAGGTTTTTAAGTGAGAATTAGATTTGACAGAAAATAATAAATAAATCACTTTGTTCTGTAAAATAGTGTAGTCTCATACAACATTAACTTTTTAACATTTGTTACCCTGTAGAACACTCTTTGGCCTTCCCTGCCTGATCCTGGTCGGTCCCCACGCGGTCGTGGTGGTCGAGGGGTGCTGGCGTCTGACCTGGAGTCTGACTCACTATGTCTATAGGTAGGCACATCAGTCCCTGGGTTATAGTACACCGGACGTACCTTCACAGGAGGCGGGACTTTCTCATTTACATTTCTTCCAGACGAGGGAGCAAGGCGGCTCATCTTAGCTACATTCTCAAACTGTCCTGCAAATACCTGTCAAAATCAATATTAACCTGTACTTCTCATAGATTCTTTACAACACAGTAACATGACATACAGTCTCACAAGCATAATGTTTTAATTAATGTCCTACACGTCTCTTTTATAAGTCAAGACATGCATACATATCATTGAAAGTCTTTTGAAATTTTAACTACCTCTATACCTCAGTGGTCAAGCATTGTTATCTACCTCTATACCTCAGTGGTCAAGTATTGTTAACTACCTCTATACCTCAGTGGTCAAGTATTGTTATCTACCTCTATACCTCAGTGGTCAAGCATTGTTATCTACCTCTATACCTCAGTGGCCAAGTATTGTTAACTACCTCTATACCTCAGTGGTCAAGTATTGTTAACTACCTCTATACCTCAGTGGTCAAGTATTGTTATCTACCTCTATACCTCAGTGGTCAAGTATTGTTAACTACCTCTATACCTCAGTGGTCAAGCATTGTTATCTACCTCTATACCTCAGTGGTCAAGTATTGTTATCTACCTCTATACCTCAGTGGTCAAGTATTGTTAACTACCTCTATACCTCAGTGGTCAAGTATTGTTAACTACCTCTATACCTCAGTGGTCAAGTATTGTTATCTACCCCTATACCTCAGTGGTCAAGTATTGTTATCTACCTCTATACCTCAGTGGTCAAGTATTGTTAACTACCTCTATACCACAGTTGTCAATAACTAATCACTGACCTCCATATTTGGACAGTCTTGTTGGTGTCCCTGTGCGATTTGATTTTCCTGGCTGTAGTGACCTGAATCACTCTGGTGTTTTCTACTGCTGTGTTGACCAGTCAATGGGTCAGTTTCTGTACTGGATTCATTCTCTTCCACACCATCTATTCTGTAATACAAAATAAGGTAGAAATCAAGAACTCTATCTAGATCTCAGACGATCAAGTTAACTCAATAGAATACTCCAGTAATGAATAGAGTCCCAACTGTACATCTGACACTGAACAATGTTATTTCATGGAAAACCATGTGTCTGTGTATTTTCAATGGTAAATGGGTCCATTGACAATGTTCATGGAAAAGCCATAGACTCCATGGTCTTCATGGACATTTCTGTAAATTTCCCTGGAAAATGTACAGTCGGGGAGAAACAAGCTCTATAAAGAGGGTTAACCTTTGTCTAAAGCCAAATGGAACAATATCCAGGAAAATGAAGATAGCAACTCATCACCTAGTACCTTTTGAGGTTTAAACAAAGCAAGCAGTGGAAATATTACAGGAATCTTTAGTTTAGTCTAGAATTGATGTTTTCACAATTGATCTAACAAAAGTACCATGTATTTCGTCCTTATTTTCTTTTCTGCCTTTTTTCCATTGAATTTCCTTATGGCCAATCATATGACAACAACAAAAGAGTTTTAGTTTATTGTGGGGTGACTTGGCAACTTAATGATGTAGGAAAACTTGTCTACTTTAGAAAGTTCCACTGTCACTGATAAGACAGACGAATGGGTGAATCAGAATAAAGCTCAACTGAAAAATAATAAATTTTGAAAACGAATAAAAAAAAAATTGTAAGCGAGATATTTAATAATACAATATTACTTTTTAATTCAGCTTCTGGAAACTTCTACGACAAAATTGTATACTGTAATGTCGATATGAGAGCACACTTTTCACAGCTATGCCGAATATAAATTGATGAAGCAATAATTTGCTGAAGAAGATGTCGTTATACAGTAACTGGTGTTTAATCAACAGTAAGTTTTTGACGTGATCTCTTTTCACAATCAATCATTCTAGTCTAAAATCTTCTGAATTATTTTTGAAAGATTTGCTAACATATCGCTAGAAACATATCAGATCGATCTGAGTGAAATTCCTCTATTTGTGTGGTCTGGATTCCACAACTCAATACATCCAACCAATAGTAATGCTTTCAAACATAACAACACAGTATGTCCAACTCCTTACATGACAACACAGTATGTCCAACTCCTTACATGACAACACTGTATACACAATTGAACTAAATGATCTTCCCTCTTCCTTACACAGTAACAATAATATTCAATATACTTGTGGCTCTCACTTCAATCAATGTGGAATGACAGTCATCAGGATATGACTGCCACTACATAACCCACTGATAGTAGTGGTGATTATCTTTGATTTTAAATAACACAAAAGAAAAAAATGATTTTCAGCAGGTAGTATGTGTCTTACTAGTATTCAACTTGCTTTTTCCTTTATTTTCCATTTTTAAAATCACACAGTCTGGTTTTGAAATGTTGAATGACACACAGCTGGAAATAGACAAACATTGCTTCAATGTTTTTTGGGTTTTATTGATTGCACAGGGCTGAGGATTATAGATGATCAACAACAAAGCCGTTTTGTACCGAGCCTTAAAACACTGATCAATATCACAATACATGTTAATTATTCATGGCTTGATATGATTGGACTGGGGCAATAAAGTCTGCATGCCATTGTGTCTAATGCTGTCCTCCCTGTAGTATTTGTATTGTCCTCCCTATAGGCTGTATCCTACAACTTTACACCAACACTTGGTTGCCTATTTCACTTTCACCATTACAAATAGTGATGAAATTCTAAACCAAAGCTATATATTTAAAACATTTACAAATAAGACGACAAAATTTTAACATAAATTTTCAGATAATCCTTTTACATTGGAACATCATTAAGCTTATAGAAAGTTTTTATAAACAATCTGATCTGATATATCCCTTACTGAACATACAAATGGGCCCTACTTTTATACAGATGAGGGTCATTTTAAGAAATATTGTTCTTTTGGAGTCTAATGGGGGAATATGTGCCGGATTTGTTTATTTTTTTGTTTGGAACTTTTAACAAAGCCCCACCAGATTAACAAAGAAGTCAGAGAGTCTACTGAATCTGGGTCTGGGCTCTGTAACACACATACTGCCTAAAGATTACTAGGGCATGCCTGGTGTAGTAGGCTAAAGTGAAACCCATGGTAAAGTAAACCAGTATACAGTAGGACAATACTGAAGTGCTACTGTCATCTAAAACATAACTATCGAAGGTTAAAGGTCGCTTAGACAGAAAGCAACATTATAATGCCATGAAATACAAACGTATAACTTTAATTGTGATTCAGCTGTTAAAGCTACAAAAATATGGCTCGTTTAAAATCCATTAAGATGTCCAAGGTGAGAGTGACCAGTGGCTTGATTACATACTCGAGGGCCATAGACAAAATCGCAGTGAAGCAGATCTTATTGGACCAGACCCAATAAATACCAAATCTAAAGTATTTAAACTACTTACAGCACAAAGACCACATGTAGATTCTCAGTTTCACAGATAACAAGTTTTAACAAGAGGTAAATATTTCATTGCATGTAGTGTTATACCATACATAAATTGTCCCTGCAAATTTCATTTAGAAACATAAGTAATATTGATCCTATCTAGGAGGTATACAAACTCAGTGAGACGTTCTTCCCTGGAATTACAGCTAACCTCAATTGTTATTGTATGTGTAATAACATTTAAAGTAAGCATTTACAAACTGAAGGTGTTGTGTTGATAAAAAGTCTGGACAGGTAAAGTCAATATACAAATAGTTATCTAGGCAGTTTATATATAGATACTACAGCTTACACCTTGTCTAGGTAGTTATATATCAATATTATAGTCGACACCTTGTCTAGGTAGTTATATATCAATATTATAGTCTACACCTTGTCTAGGTAGTTATATATCAATATTATAGTCGACACCTTGTCTAGGTAGTTATATATCAATATTATAGTCTACACCTTGTCTAGGTAGTTATATATCAATATCATAGTCGACACCTTGTCTAGGTAGTTATATATCAATATTATAGTCTACACCTTGTCTAGGTAGTTATATATCAATATTATAGTCTACACCTTGTCTAGGTAGTTATATATCAATATTATAGTCGACACCTTGTCTAGGTAGTTATATATCAATATTAAAGTCTACACCTTGTCTAGGTAGTTATATATCAATATTATAGTCGACACCTTGTCTAGGTAGTTATATATCAATATTATAGTCTACACCTTGTCTAGGTAGTTATATATCAATATCATAGTCTACACCTTGTCTAGGTAGTTATATATCAATATTATAGTCGACACCTTGTCTAGGTAGTTATATATCAATGTGGCAGATGACCATGTCTGACCATGGAATCGAACAAACACACAAGGTCAGGAAACAGTATACCTGGTCAATGGTAGACTGACAAACACACAGGGTCAGGAGCTGCATTCCTGGCCAATGGTAGACAGACAAACACACAAGGTCAGGAAACAGTATTCCTGGTCAATGGTAGACTGACAAACACACAGGGTCAGGAAACAGTATTCCTGGTCAATGGTAGACTGACAAACACACAAGGTCAGGAAACAGTATTCCTGGTCAATGGTAGACTGACAAACACACAGGGTCAGGAAACGGTATTCCTGGTCAATGGTAGACTGACAAACACACAGGGTCAGGAAACAGTATTCCTGGTCAATGGTAGACTGACAAATACACAGGGTCAGGAAACAGTATTCCTGGTCAATGGTAGACTGACAAACACACAAGGTCAGGAAACAGTATTCCTGGTCAATGGTAGACTGACAAACACACAAGGTCAGGAAACAGTATTCCTGGTCAATGGTAGACTGACAACACACAAGGTCAGGAGCTGTTTTCCTGGTCAATGGTAGACTGACAAACACACAAGGTCAGGAAACAGTATTCCTGGTCAATGGTAGACTGACAAACACACAGGGTCAGGAAACAGTATTCCTGGTCAATGGTAGACTGACAAACACACAAGGTCAGGAAACAGTATTCCTGGTCAATGGAAGACAGACAAACACACAGGGTCAGGAGCTGTATTCCTGGTCAATGGTAGACTGACAAACACACAAGGTCAGGAAACAGTATTCCTTGTCAATGGTAGACTGACAAACACACAAGGTCAGGAGACAGTATTCCTGGTCAATGGTAGACTGACAAACACAAAGGTCAGGAAACAGTATTCCTGGTCAATGGTAGACTGACAAACACACAAGGTCAGGAGACAGTATTCCTGGTCAATGGTAGACTGACAAACACACAAGGTCAGGAGACAGTATTCCTGGTCAATTGTAGACTGAAAAACACACAAGGTCAGGAGCTGCATTCCTGGTCAATGGTAGACTGACAAACACACAAGGTCAGGAGCTGTATTCCTGGTCAATGGTAGACTGACAAACACACAAGGTCAGGAGCTGTATTCCTGGTCAATGGTAGACTGATAAACACACAAGGTCAGGAAACAGTATTCCTGGTCAATGGTAGACTGACAAACACAAAGGTCAGGAAACAGTATTCCTGGTCAATGGTAGACTGACAAACACACAAGGTCAGGAAACAGTATTCCTGGTCAATGGTAGACTGACAAACACACAGGGTCAGGAAACAGTATTCCTGGTCAATGGTAGACTGACAAACACACAAGGTCAGGAGACAGTATTCCTGGTCAATGGTAGACTGACAAACACACAAGGTCAGGAGCTGTATTCCTGGTCAATGGTAGACAGACAAACACACAAGGTCAGGAGCTGTATTCCTGGTCAATGGTAGACTGACAAACACACAAGGTCAGGAGCTGTATTCCTGGTCAATGGTAGACTGACAAACACACAAGGTCAGGAAACAGTATTCCTGGTCAATGGTAGACTGACAAACACACAAGGTTAGGAGCTGTATTCCTGGTCAATGGTAGACAGACAAACACACAAGGTCAGGAGCTGTATTCCTGGTCAATGGTAGACTGACAAACACACAAGGTCAGGAAACAGTATTACTGGTCAATGGTAGACT